GACAAAAACCTTGTCGAAACGTTGTACATTTGCTGTTATATTAAAGTTTTTCTTCATCACCCATTCAAGCCGTCTCCAGCCATTATTAGTCTCAAAGTGGGTTCCTCGTCATCGAATTACTGGACGTGGCGACATGGACAGTAAGGACTTGATGAAACTCCAAAATCGTTTTAATATAACGTACTCAACATAATATAAAAAAATAAATCAGGAAATGAATTTTAGATCTAAAAGAAGTTTTGTCTTATGTCCAATATTTCATTAAGAATCGTTTTTCATTGCAATAACTATGTGGTTCACAATATGAGACTGAGATGGAGCCACAATGAAGAAAAATAATGCGTAAGAATTTGTTCTGTAAAATTCAAGATCATTCCTTATTATCAGTTAAATGTTTGATATAGCATTTAACAGGTACTTGAGGTAATACATTAAAGTAGATTTCGAAATGAACTTTATTATTAAGTACTAAAAGGGTTAAGAGTTTGAAGAGGTAATTAAGAAAATGGATCATTGTCTCTAAAACATGCATCATATGTATCAAACACAAACTATACAATGATTGAAACAGTCCTTACAGAATACCAAAACTATAACTACGCAATGAGAAAAACCTTTTATAAACTGACTAAAACACAAACTACAGAGTGACCATAACAAAACTAATGAGTGATCCAAAACGTTAACTACTGAATGATCAAAGCGCTAAGCTAGACCGATCAAAGCCATAACTTAGAGTTACTAAAACACTAACTACAGAAGAGACCAAACACTTATTACGAAGTTACCAAAATTCTAATCATAAAGTGATCCAATTACTAACTATAAAGTGAACAAAAATACAGAGACTCAATCAATGAGTACAGAGTGGCCAAAACACTTATTTAGAGTGATGAAAAGATTAAATCGAGTCTGAACAAAACACTATCTTTAAAAATAACCAAAACACTATCTAAAGAAACTAAAACTCTAACTAATGACCAAAACACTAACTACAGAGTGGAAAATCACTAAGCACCGAATGACCAGTAAATAAAAAGAGAATATAATATTAACAACAGAGTAAGACAACCATTAATTAAAAAAGTGATCCAACAACTACCTATAGAACGACACATACGCTAACTAAATAATCACCGAAGTATTAACCAAAAATTACCCAACTGTTGAATACAGGATGAACAAAAAGCTAACTTGGATTTACCAAAATACTAATTCGAGTAACCAAAACATTAACTACTGAGTGAACAAAATGAAAACCATAGAGTTACCAAAATCTCAGCAACAGTGATCAAAACGCTAACTAAATAGTAACCAAAATACAAAACACAGAGTGACTCAACCATTAAACAAAAAGACATAAAACACTAACTATTGAGTGATCTAGCCATTAACTAAACAACGACCAAAACACTAACTATTGAGTGATCTAGCCATTAACTAAACAGCGACCAAAACACTAACTTCAGAGTGCCTCAATCACTTACTATAGAGTAACCAAAACATTAAGTACAGAGTAACCAAACCAATAATTACAAAATGGCCGATATACTAACTAAACAGTTACTAAAAAACGAAATACACAGTGACCTTTACAATAAGTACCGACCGACTAAAACACTAGGTTGATAAAACCAAAGCTCAAAAAACAGAGTGAACAAACGATAATTTTATGGTGACCAAAACACTGATTAAAATTACTGAAATGCGAACAACAGAGTGATCAAACAAACTAACTAAAAAGTGGCCTAAACAATGACTAGCGATAAGTACAGAGCAACCAAATTAGTAAGCAAATAATGATCGAAATACTATGGTTACAGAAAGGCCCAACCACTAAATAGAGAGTAACAGTACCACTAGCTGTAGGGTCACCAATTTACAGAGTGATTCACCCAATGAGTGCACAGCTACCAAAATTCTAACTTAGAATGACCAAAATATAAACTATAGAATAAAAAACTATAATTACACAGTGACGAAAATTTTAACTCCGAAATTACTATGCTTACTACAAAGTTAAACTACCAAAATGCTATCTAAAAAGTGACCGCTAAGAAAAGATTGACCAACACACTAACTATGGAGCATATCAACCACTAAATAAAGGATGATCTTACCACTAAATGCAGAGGGTCCAAAACACAAACAACAAAATGGTCAAAACGGTAACTACAGAGGAACCAGTTAAAATGTAATCTTTAAAGTGTCCAAAACACTAAATATAGTGTAATCAAAATACTAGCTAAAGAATGATTAAATTACAACTTTTATCAAAATGCTAACCGCGCAGTGACCAAAACTCTAGCCACAGTTACAAAACAACTAAATGAAGTGCGACCAAAACACTAACTACGAAGTTACCAAAACGTTAACCATAGAGTAACTTAAAGCAGGCTAGAAAGTGACCAAATCTAAATATAGAGTAACCCAACCACTAAGTAAAGAATGACCAAACACTAACTACAGAACGATCAAAATAATAGCAACATTTATCAAAATGTTAACTACATATTAACCAGAAAACTAACCAGAGTTACCCAACCACCGCCAAAAAGAGCAAAACACTTCTTACTGAGTGACTTAATACTAACTACTGAGTGACCAAAACATTATTACTAGAGTTACAAAAATACAAGCTACAGAGCGATCTAACCAATGGGTGCAGAGTGGCCAAAACGTGAACTTAGAGCGACCAAAACACAAACTATAGACTGACAAATACGCTATCTACAGAGTGAGGAAAACGCTTACTACAAAGTGATCAATACACCTACTACAAAGTGATAAAAACGCTAAAAACAAAGTGCCACAAATACTATGTAACGTGTGACCAAAACACTAACTACAAAATGTTCCAGCCACCAACTAAAGAGTGACCCTATTACTAAGTGTAGTAGATCCACAACGCTAATGAGTGAGTGACAAAAACATTAACTATAAAGTTATGAATACGCTAGCTAACACAGTGACCGAAATACTTACTACAAACTCATCAAAATATTAACTTTAAAAGGACCAAATCGTTAATTACAGAGTGGCCCGACCGCTTAATAGAGTAAAAAAAGTGACATTACACATAACTGTAGAGTAACCAAAACACTAACTACAGAGTGACCAATACTCCAAACACATTTATCAAAATGTTTACTACATTGTAGTTAACTAAAAACACAAACCACAGAGTTATCCAACCACTGCAAAAAAAAGGAACAAAACACTAATCACTGTGTGGCCCAGCTATTAACTGAAGTATAACTAAAACATTAACTATAGACTGAATCAATCACTAACTATACGCTGTAAAATCTCCCGTAGAACTACATGTAATCAACCATTATTTTTCAATTTTAAAAACCGTATTTTAAAGTATTTTTAAAACATCTAAATAACGTGAAAAATACTATAAAATGAGTACATTTTGTAATGTATAGAACCATGTTTAAAAACACTCTCATTTCCACTCAGTTCAACGTGAAAACATTTAAATAATAATAATTTGACAGCAAAAAAAGTCGGTATTTCACTAAATTAGCGGGAACTGTAAAATCCTGTACTTAAACCTTTATTTTTATACATAGTTGCTTTTCCCTACCATGCGGCTAACCTTAGCGGGAACTGTAAAATGCTTTACTTAAACCTTTATTTGTATACATAGTTGCTTTTCCCTACCATGCAGCTAACCTTAGCGGGAACTGTAAAATACTTTACTTAAACCTTTATTTGTATACATAGTTGCTTTTCCCTACCATGCAGCTAACCTGGTCGAAATTTTATATGGATAAACCATTTGAAGTGTTGCCGTGTAGAAGTGAAAAAAAAATCCTTGAGACACGTGATAAAACTATTATCGTATGTACATTAATCATTACTTTTATAATATTTATTTTTACATTGACTGTGAAGAAACACTAAAAATACATGCATAAAGGTATATTTAAATAGAGTAGACATTAATTTAAAAGTATTTCTTTGTTGAATGACAGCGAAAAACAATTGAAATACATGATAAAACAATTATTTTATGCGGATCAACCATTAACTTAAATGTATTTTTTTGTAGAATAACAGTAGAAAACACTCAAAATACATATTGAAACAGTTATTTTTAGCTACACTTCAGTAAAATTTAACAGTGAATTGCTGTGAATTTAACAGAAGGTTCTGAACTTATTTTTATGTTAAAAAGTCTGGCAGCTGAACTACCAGTCTTTTTACCGTAAATTAACAGTGAAATGTTTTATAGTGTAAGTGACTAAAAACATAAGCTACAGGGTGACCCAACAACTAACTACAAAGTGACCAAAACGCTACGCATAGAGTAACTCAAACGTTAACTGCATAGTTAGCGAACCACTATAGTGACTAAAGCTCTAACAACAAAGTAGCCAAATTGGTGAGTATAGAATTAATCAAAACAATAAACAGAGTGACAAATACGCTAACTACACAGTAACCAAAACTCTAACTGCAGAGTCATTCAAACACTAACTAGAGAGTGACCAAAACGATAACTACAAAGTGTCCCAAACATTAAATACATAGTAATGAAAACACTAGTCATAGAGTGTCGTTAACGCTAACTACAAAGTGTCCCAAACATTAAATACATAGTAATGAAAACGCTAGTTATAGAGTGTCGTTAACGCTAACTACAAAGTGTCCCAAACATTAAATACATAGTAATGAAAACACTAGTTATAGAGTGTCGTTAACGCTAACTACGAAGTGGCCAAAATACTAGCTACAGATTGACCAAAACACTAAATACGAGTGACCTTCCCTAGTTATTTTCTTTCACAGTAAACTCATAAAAGATACATAGCTGACCACCAGCTGGAATAAACTTTCTACTTAGGTTCAGTAATCAAATGTTTATTTATTAACATTTAATATAAGAGTATAAGATATAAGTTAAAAAAACTGTTATTATTTGCAGATCACTGAAGCATGTAATTATAATTACTAGTTTATAAACAAAAGTTTTGTCTTATATAGTAATATTTTCACTTATTTTGTAAAGAAGCAAAGATCCCTTCTAAAGGTATGCGCATGATCTGCCATAATCATATAGTTGTACTTATAAGTTGTTATTTTGTGTTTATAAAGTAATCCTGTTATTGTTAAACATATAAGTTAGTAGCTGATATTTCTGTTTAAACATCTTTGTTGAATTATTGCGAGAAAGTTCACTAATTCTCAACGTATAATTCAATAAGAAAAATTTAAATTTATATCTATTATCTGTGTATTTATAACCAAATGTTCTAAATTATTTGTAAATGGAAATTGGACTTTAAAACATACTTACATCAAGATCAGAAGGATAGAATTCTTGTGCCGATTCTCCTAGACTTTTGGCAGAACATACAGCTAGCAAAAGACAAGCCAGCAAGAGAAGCATATTTATTTTCAACATGACTGCCAAAAATGTGACCTGTGGAGTCAGAAATGTTTAATTTGTCAGTAACTAGAAAACACCAAGTTGTAGCATACCTACTAATACATTTTTATGAAAAGTAAGTTGTTTCGAACTCACTCAATCACCGCATGGTAACAGTTAAATTATCTATCTCTTTCTGTACATAAGAACCATACAGCAACTAGTGAAGGTGTCACCTGTTCTCTTAAGTAGTGACCTTAAATGGTCTTGCACTTTAGAATTTTAACTTATAGTCCGAAAAATGTTGTGGAAACAAGACTGTTGAAAATATTAAACGTCATGTGTTTGAGTTTGTTCATTCAAAAATTACCCACTTTCCGTTTTCCTTTTATCCCAAATCTTTTTCTCAGTAAATGGAAAGATGCAATGATTGAAAATAGAGGTTACTCTGATATAAAATATATATATACAGCAATTCTCTTTATATTCTTGTTGAAACTTGTTTTGATTTTAAAAGTTAACTAGACCACCCGTGACTCCTTGGGGAGTGCAGAATTCACGCTAATTTCAATATTGCACCGAAATGAAGGTTTATTTTCATACAATTTAATTAAATATTTCCATCCATTCGTGTTATTCATAATTCAACAAAAGATATTTGATGGTTTATCCGGAGTAAAGGAAGACCATTTCATTTTTCAAAAAGTGAAGTCAGAGTTTTCAGGTATTCTGATGAATTAGTTCATTATGTTGTGGTATTCGTCTTAAACCTTCTACAAATAAGAAACAGTAACACTTTATCTTTTCTTCGAATTATCTACCATAACCAAGGCACATTATTGAGAAATTATTCAAGATCTTGTTTTTGTCATCTTATGCCTTTTAGTGAAGATGGTAACATTGACAGGGAAATAGATTTTAACGAAGAAGTTTCGTAAAGAGCACGAACGGTAGTGTGATGTAAAATTACTCATGCTAGAAATTTTCATAAAAGTGACTCGAAAAACGGCGCTAACTCGGTAACCCGTGGCCCGATTTTAACTAAACTTGTTTTATTCTGTTTCTATTCTCATTTCATTACAAATTTGGCGCTATTTTTATGCCGTTTTTGCTATAGTTAATTACAGACAAGCAAACAAACAAACAATCTCAGAGTTTTAGTATATAAATTAAAATCTAGTCTAGTATATGGCTACATACAAATAAACATTCTAATTTTGTAATTTTTATAAATATATATGATTGTATTTTCTTCTTTAATTTTTCGATAACAAGTCAGTAATTCTAGTAAATTTATATTTCCAAACGTATTTTAAATTAATATTAATCATGCACACGTGTTATCATAATTGCTTAATTCTCACTACAATTCAGCATAACAAAGTTGTTTGGTGAGTCTTTAAGTTCGAACTAACTTTTCTTCAGCTGCTGGGCAATTCTTTAAAATCCAACTAGTCTGATTTCTTGATAAGCCTTTCAGTTCCAATTAACCTGTCTCCTGTTACTAGCTGAACCTTTATATTTCATCTATTTCCTCTTCTTGGCGAGTTTTTATCTTCCAGCTAACGAAACTACTGCTAGCGAACGAATCATGAAGTCTCAATTAATGTATCCACTGCTACTGAAGTATGTGTTTAAGTATAACTAAACTTTCTTTTAGGTGAGTCTTTAACTTCCCTCTAGCCTAACTACTGCTATTGAACGAATCATGAAGCCTCAATTAATGTATCCACTGCTACTGAGGTATGTGTTTAAGTATAACTAAACTTTCTTTTAGGTGAGTCTTTAACTTCCCTCTAGCCTAACTACTGCTACTGAACGAATCATGAAGCCTCAATTAATGTATCCACTTCTACTGAGTTTTAAGTACAACTAACTTTCTTTTAGGTGAGTCTTTAACTTCCCTCTAGCCTAACTACTGCTACTGAAGCCTCAATTAATGTATCCACTGCTACTGAGGTATGTGTTTAAGTATAACTAAACTTTCTTTTTAGTGAGTCTTTAACTTCCCTCTAGCCTAACTACTGCTACTGAACGAATCATGAAGCCTCAATTAACGTATCCACTGTTACTAAGCTGTTTTCTCGGTAAGTCTTTTAGTTTCAAGTAATGTGTTATTGCTAGTGGGCGAGTTCTTAAAATCTCACTGAACCACTTTCTTGGTGAGTATCTCAGTTCTAGCTAACCACGCCACTGTTTCTGAATGTGTCATTCAAAAATCAATTAACCTGCCTACTGCTACTGGGTTAATTGTTCAGTTCCAACTTTATATTAGTTATTAGACTGTTGTACTTGTGAACTGCATTAGACAAATATTCGATTGGAAGGCAGATACAATTTATATATTTCATGCAATCAGTTAAGAGTTTTAAATTCCGGAATATATTTATTAAGTCAGTTATAAATTTAATGACTTTAATTCAGGTTTTTTTCCATTAACTGTTTGACTATACAATAAACTCGTTTACGGAATAATGTACAATTTTTATTTAACACAAGAGAAACCTTAAAATTACAATGCAAGGTGCAGAGGATTTTCAAACAAAGCATAATGTATTTAGAATACTGAAACTTACCTGAAAAACGTTGTAGAGGAATTGCATTCACTTTTGAGGGAGTGATCTTGAATTCAGGTTTAAATAGCTTCCCTGAAAATAGAAATCCACACAGCGCATGTTTTTCGTTATGTGACGAAACCCTCAAAATTGATAGATGCTGCAGACCAAATTCAATTCCACGCAAGCGCAGTAGGCAATAGACGTTCGATGGACCAATAGTAACTTGTCCACAAACGAAATAAAGAGAAATCTGTCAGTGAATACGAAGGCAGATTTGAAATCAACGTCATTCGCTGTAAGTTTAGTTAGAAAAAAAAGCAGCCTAGCTCACAATACTTTGTGAACGGATTAGACTGATAGGAGTATGACGTCATGCAACTTACATTGCTAGAAAAACAGCCAATTTCGTTAAAGTAAGGCAAATATGTGTCACTAATGCTATCCCTAAAATAGAAACTAATTTCACTACAAACACTATTCAATTGCTTGTGGTTTAAAATTAAAGACAGACATAAAATGGAGAAATACATCTTTCGTGTTATTGTAACTGTATCAGTATCGGTTTACAATATATTAGTTCGTAAGACTTGAATATGTTATTTGTAATAAATATCGCACTAGACTGCAGATTTTGTTTTGTTTATGTCTCTTAATTAGCCTATTACAGATTTCAAATTAGAGCCGTATACAAATAGCATGTCCCCCCCCCCCAGTGGCACAGCGGTATGTCTGCGGACATACAACGCTAGAATCCGGGTTTCGATACCCGTGGTGGGCAGAGCACAGATAGCCCATTATGTAGCTTTGTGCTTAAATTCAAACAAACAAATATCATTTTAAGAGTAAAAATTCAGTCTACTGTGAGCTTTATCTCAAATTTATTAGGCCTATTGGTTTCATTTCTTCGCCAAACTTTAGATCCACTTATAAAAATGTAAACCAAATTATATTTTTACACATAAAACTGGAATTTACTAGATGTACTGTATGTAGTGTAATTTAGCGATTTGAGTAAATCTCCATAACTGAGAAAAAATTATAGAAAATGAAAAAAACTATAATTTAACCAAAATATCTAAATTATGATGTAGTTACGATATAGTTTCTTTAACAAGTTTTCCAAGATTAAGAATTATGACAAACGGACAAGTTCTATATTTTACAGAGCTAAGAAAACTAGCATAACTATCATAATCCAGCTGTTTAATCAGACGGTTTTCATACCATTTGAATAGTCTATAATTTTTTTGTTAAAATCAGTTACTCTTAAGTTACAACAATGAATTTTGGTGTTTAAGTAAGGTGTTATTGAAGCACAATAAATAAGTATCTGTGTTAAGTTACAACAATGAGTTTGATGTTTAGATAAGGTATTATTAAGACACAATAATAAGTATTTGTGTGAAAATCAATTACTGTTTACTTACAACAATGAGTTTTAATGTTTAATCAGTTATGGTTAAGTAATAAAAATAAGTTTAGGTGTTTTAATCAGTTATTTCTTAGATACAACAAAGAGTATAAATGTTTAATTCAAATGAGTTTTAATTTAGCATAGCAATGAGTCTCGATGTTTTAATCGGTTATTATTGAGTCATATCAATTATTGTCGCAATTTATCTCTCGTAATTTACAGGATGCATTTTCAATTAAAACTGAAAAAGTTATTTTCAGTAATCCATTATGTATTAAAACACTATACCGAAGGTACTTTTCTGAAACCAACTAGTCTCTTCGTATTGTCCACGAATACGTTTAATCAAAAGTCTTGACACTAACGGAAAACGCATATATATTCAATAAATCCAATAAACATTCTTCGCAGCCTTTTCCCACATCTGGACTTCTTTTAGGATATGATGTGCGGTTCTTGACCTCAAGGTCAACATGTTTAATATCACAGTGATAAAAACAAAGCGAATAATTAAGTCTATAAAATATGATTAAAAATAATTTCTGTGAAGCTACTCAGTCTAATATTTCTGTTGCCAAATAAGTAAACCATAAACATATTGTAATGAATGAAATAGGGCGGATCCCCGGGCGATACAGTCGTAGATCTGCGAACTTACAATACTAAATTCGGAGTTCGCTTCCTCTCGGTGGAAAGACCCCAGGTAGTCAATGATGTAGCTTTGGATTAAAACAACAACGAAACGAATCAAGGTTGATCGTGAATACTCCTTTAATTTATAGGGTTTTAAAAGTGAAATTTAGCATTTTTGTTCATTGTAAATTTCTGATGTTATAATAGCCATAACATCTATAGTTTATAATAACAAAACAAACATCTTTTTTTTTTTGAGAAATTCACCTTTATCTCGGGTGATTATTTAGAAGTTTTTTATCTATAAAAAACAAATGTATGTGGTCTGAGTTGATGTTACTAGTTAGCAATAGTGTTTTAATTACACTTTTTCATTTGATCATTTGAGTTCATTTCACGACTTGACTGATTTTATTTCAATGTACAATTTTTCATTTAACTATTTGGTTTAATTTCACTAGTTAACTTGTTTTTTTTCAGTGTTGCTCCCTTTTCATTCAATCGTTTGAGTTGAATTTATAGTTAGGTTATTTGGATTTAGTATGGACTTTTCCATTCAATCTGAGTTGATTGTATTTCAAAGTGACATATTTTCCGTACATATATAGTTTTGTATTTAACATTCATTGTACTTAATACAATAAATATAAATCAGTGTTTTACTAGTCATTGCTAAACACATATTATGACTAAATGAACTAAAATAAAAGGTTCTATAATAAACACACTACATAATATGACTGTTTTAAAAGTGAACACATATACAATTGTCAACATTTAGTCCTAAGATTTTTTCAACTATATTCCGGTTCTGCATGACTAAAACCACGCTTTTTTACTTATAGAAGGTTATTTTGTTATATGCATAATCATGATGCTGTTTTTAAAAGCACCTGATCATTAAATTGTTATTATATGTTTCGAAGTTTGAAAAAAAAAGAATAATATATCATTAAGCCATAAAAATATTTGATTTGTTTTGAGCACTGAAAATAGTCAGATCTAAATAGGAAAGACGGAAAAATATTTCATCCCGATGATTTAATGTGGATAGAAAAATATGTGCAATTTCATATTTAGAAAAGAAATGTTTTTAAATTTCAGCCAAAAAGAAGAAACTTTTAATTTTTGTCTGTTGTTCCTTGAATTAAAAAATATTATCATCTTTTTTTTTCCTTTTATTTGTTTTTTATATAAATATGCTATAAGAAAAGGATTCGTATTATCTCATGTAAACTATTTTTATTTGAAAGTCCTATTTACGTATTTTGATTGATTGTCGTAAAACAAAGTGAACTCAAACAATGCTGATATCGGTATACAAGGTTACCAGTGATGATATACAGATAAAAGGAAAATACACTTTAGCAATTATGATGAATTGTACAAAAAATATACATTTAAATAGTCCTTATATATACTGAAGAAAAATATAAAAATACCTTTTAACATTGCTATGGTAATACACAAACTGTGCCTCAACGATTCTGATTTATTTCAGGAAAATGTGCAAAGTACACTTGGACAAAGTTATAGAAAAACAGGGAAAATGTGCAAAGTACACTTGGACAATGTTGTAGAAAAACAGGGAAAATGTGCAAAGTACACTTGGACAATGTTGTAGAAAAACAGGGAAAATATGCAAAGTACACTTGGACAATGTTGTAGAAAAACAGAGAAAATGTGCAAAGTACACTTGGACAATGTTGTAGAAAAACAGGGAAAATGTGCAAAGTACACTTGGACAATGTTGTAGAAAAACAGGGAAAATGTGCAAAGTACACTTGGACAATGTTGTAGAAAAACAGGGAAAATGTGCAAAGTACACTTGGACAATGTTGTAGAAAAACAGGGAAAATATGCAAAGTACACTTGGACAATGTTGTAGAAAAACAGGGAAAATGTAGTTTGTAGTTAAATATTGTATGATACTAGACACGTAGTTAGAAACTACTTGAATATTGTAGAAAATTAAACAAAATATGTCAGAGAGTATTTAAATAATGTAGCAAAATAAACAAAATACAACTACTTAAATAATGAAAGAAAATAAACAAATTATATAGAGAGAGGGTGCTTAAATATTACAAAATTAGAACAAGTGCATTTAAAAAAATGTTGATATTCACTGTAGAAAATATATTTCAACGTTACTGTTATAGGTGAATAACGGTTGTGATAGAGCGTTATAAATCTTAAACCTAAAATGTTTCATTTCCTATTAGCTTCACTATAACACTATTATTCTACTTCTCTA